TTAAGTAGGCTGGATCTTCGAAGTTTGCATTCTCTTTAATAGTTAAACAAACATAACCAATCAAGTCAATATGAGTACTGAGTAACTATTAATAATTATAAATTAATTACGTAAAATTAAAAATAATAATTATGAACTAAAAATGTCGAACCATAAGATCATATTAATATACCAATTATACACCTAGGAGTTATGTAMATAGATAAATAAACACATTATAGTAAAACTAATCACTTGTTGCATCCCTCAAAACCTAAAATATACTTATCAGTATCTAGTTGTATAGTGTAAGTAAAAATCCAAGAGTCCTGAACGCCTGAACAATGGACACATGCTGTATACATAAGTTGATAATATACTCACCTTCAAATCTCAAAATTTCAAATTACCTAGATATTATTTCGACGCGATCGYCAAACGTAGACTATGTACTACAGGCAAAGCAATTATTTTACCCTTCAGAGATTGTACGTTGACACCCAAMAATTGATTAATGAATAATGAATTTACTTAATTATTTCGATAAAATAATACATAATTCAATTTATATTATTATTATGTACATAGATGAAATGTACTTACTTTCGTTGCCATTTCGTCTTTATTAATTACGTATTATATTCAATTAACAATTTAACAAAATATAATAGTAGATACAAACACGATTTGCCATCCAACGTATACGGCTTAGAATTGACTCATTCGAGCAAATGCGGATAGCACAATGATCTTATAATATCGTAGACGTTAAAATAACATAATTTGAATGCATTTCTATAAATAAAATGTTGCTATTTCCATTGTTAWTAATAATTTCAATACTACAATATTATATTAGTTTAATAATTGTTGTATTTAGATCGCAGACTAGTTTTACAGATATTGGTAGAGGACTGTCGAAAAACATGGTTGGAGGGTGTGGGAAGAGTGGTGTACAAATGTTGTACAAATGTTGATTGTTGGGTGGTATACATCATCGTATTATTTCTTAGTGAATAATATCATCACAGACTATAATATCATAAAAAAAAATATTCCCGTACTAATATTATTTGAGTACCTAATATAATAATAATTTTTTGTTCATATTTATAATTGTCATGTTTATTATACTGGCCGTAAGCATGATTATTATGTGATGWTGCCACAGAATTAAGACGTATACATTGTGTGATCATCAGCATGATGCCCAATAGAGTGTTATAGGTAGATTTTTTATTAACAAACCGGGTACCCCGAGTATGGATCCGGTGCATGTATGTCAAGAGACATACGTCTCATTTGCATACAGTCTATTTTTAGTTAAACATTTWCTTACTTGCATACAACGTAATTACCCAGAATAACATTAAGAATCATTTGCGCACACACTCATTTTCATTCACACGTCTTGTTCTTCAGACTTAGGACTGGTATAAAAAAAAAACTCCGTACCACGTGAGAACGCATACGGCGGCCTACCAAAACTTGTCGTTTTCGCGCACGAGCATCCCTCTCCATTAAGCAGTCTCAAGCCGAAACTAGTCGTTCGCTATCGGAGCTAGTCGGTTTTCGGTCGGCGCACATGTATACAGACTGGTTGTTGTCAACACAATTTTGACAATACAATTAATAAAATACTTATTTTCAATTTAATAACCCAAAAAAAAATTTTTATTGCTCCCAGTCAAAATATTTTGA